GCTGAACCTCTCTGAGGCTCAGTGCTCTTATCTATAAAGTGAAGCTAAAAAGACCCATTCCACAAGGTTGTTGGAGGATTAAGTGAGTTAATATGATCAGATGTCTAACCTAGTATCTGGCCCAGAGTGGGAGCTTATCAACTGTTCCAAAGACTCTACCCTGGGGAAGAAGGGTTAACAGGGACCTGAGTCTCTGCCCAGCAGCGTGGGCCTGGTCAGCCAACTCAGGAGAAGGAAGTCCTCCCTGCCTGGCTAGTGTCTGTTATGTCCACCTCCCTTTGAAGGGACTGAGGAAGGAGTCAATGGCAGGAAGAAGCTCCTAGTGTAGAGGCCTTAAGAAGACGGCATAGTGCAGAGGGCTCTAATTCTTCCAAGCCTGTATTCAAACCCTGCTCAGCCCCACACACTCCAGTCCTCGGTCTCCTCAAGTGTAAAATGGAGCTAACAACTGGCTTATGTCAAAAAATAACACGTGGGGCTTCCCTCGTGGCGCAGTGGTTAAGAATCCGCCTGCCAATGCAGGGGACACGGGTTCGAGCCCTGGTCCAGGAAGATCCCACATGCTGTGGAGCAACTAAGCCTGTGCGCCACAACTACTGAGCCCGCGAGCCGCAACTACTGAAGCCCACGTGCCTAGAGCCCGCGCTCCGCAATGAGAGAAGCCACCACAGTGAGAAGCCCACACACCGCAAAGAAGAGTAGCCCCCATTCGCTGCAACTAGAGAAAGGCCTGTGTGCAGCAACGAAGACCCAACGCAGCCAAAAATAAATAAATAAATTAATTAAAAAAATAATAATAACACCTGTAAACTTACAGACACATGGAAGGTTCTCAATAAGTGAGAGTGGTGGTGGGGAAGGTGGGGCTGTGATGTTGGTGATAATCATGGTGGGGATGGTGGAGATGGGGACACAGGAACAGTGATCATATCTTCCTCTCATGCAGGTGCCAACGGAAGTAGCCCAAGACTGGTGTAAAGAGAAGGATATTCCCTATTTTGAAGTCAGTGCCAAGAATGACATCAATGTGGTACAAGCCTTCGAGATGCTGGCCAGTCGGGCTCTGTCAAGGGTGAGTGGCACCTGCCAGCTGCCCCCTAGGATGGAGGAACTCAGGAGGGTCCAGAAAAGTATATATTGGGAGGGACGAGGGTGGGACAGGATTGCTCATCATCTTAATTAATCAGTTGTTGAATGGGCTCAACAGTATTCCAATTCTGGAAGCACAGAATACCAGAGGCATAAAGCTTCCTTAGAATCCATCATCAGTGGTCCTTCAATCCGGCTGATTATCATTTGTGGAATTTCTAAAAAATACAGTTCGATACCTCACTCCTGGAGACTCTAATTTAGTAAGAGTTTGAGAAGTAATGCTCTAGTTCAGTCCTCACTGATGGGAGAGAAGCCCCAAGGTGCCAAGTATTGGTCCAAGTGGAATAATGAAGCCTGCGGGAGTTGCTGACGTCCTCCAATCAAAATGATGGATAGATGTAGACCACTTGGTGTAGTCTCTCAACAAGCATGTGTTGAGTATGTCACGTGTGTCAGGTCCCGTCCAGGGCTCCGGGGTCCCTTGCTCTCGTAAGGGAGACAGATCGGCACAGGAGTGGCTGCAGTGCAGGCACTGTATGGTGGGCAAGGACTGGTGATGGGGCCCCAGAGGAGGGACACAAAGCCCACACTGCAGGGGAGAGAAGGGGGAGAGAGAAGGGGAAGATCAGAGAAGGTCACCTGGAAGTATTAGCAGGGTTTTAACGCCATTCTGATATAGAGCTCAGAAACTCTGAAGAGCATCCGTGAGAGATTTGCACAGGGAGGGGCTCAGCACGTTTCATTATTCTGCCATATGCAGTCAAGGTGGGCTTCTTAGAAATGGGGAGGTCATCACGGCAGTGATTCTGAACTGAGGAAAGGAGCGAATGAGGATGGGCAGTCGGAGTGCTCCCCTCTGCGGAAGGGCCTGCTGTCACTGGTCTGCCTGGCCCTGCCCTGTGGGTTGTCCACAACGGAGAGAGACAGCAGCCACCCCTAGCAGCTGCCCAGGGAGGGGGCTCGAGCTTGCCACCCTTACACCCCATTGCCTTAATCTCAGAGTTTGCCCCCATGTGCTCTTCTTAATGCTTCCCCTTCTGGCCCCCGGCCCTCACTGTGTCATGTGAAAAGGAAGAATAGAGGTGGCTATCTCTAGCACATGCTCAAGAAGTGCTGCCCTATCACACAGTCGGTAATACAGATGTGCCTGCTCATGCCATTCCCTGGAAGGTGAGGGATGCTGTTTGACCTCATAGGGTGATACGTGATCACTGATCCTCCGCAAACACAGTACAATCAATGATCGCCAGGTGCTTAGTCACAGGGAAGCTCCATCAGCCCACAGCCAGTGTCTGTGTGTAGTTAGCATCTGTCCTTTCTGGAGGAGGAGTGTCCTTCATTCTTGAAACTATGTCCTTCCTGCTGTGTCACTTTTATGACACAGTGATGTTAGTGGATGGTAGTTTGTCTGCTTGTTTTTCTTTTCCATTGTCCTTACTTGGCAAAAGAATGGATTGGTGACCCCATGTCAGTCCCTCACAGTGATGGGGGAAATGTACTGATGAGAAGTTTGGCGGTCACGGTTGTGATACCCGCAGTCATACTGACCTGGGTTTGATCCCGCCCTCATGCTTTCAAGTGGACCCCTGGGCAAGACATATGACTTCTCTGAGCCTCAATTTCCTCATAAGATGGAAATAACTCCATCCCATAAACATTCTTGAGTTGCCAGGCTAGGGCTGGAGATGTGGACCTCAGTGGCCCCAAGGTCAGGTAAAGGAGTAAGGCATCCAAAATCGGAGGTCATGCAGAGAGAACAGGCTTGTGGTTGCCAAGGGGGAGGGGGGAGGGGAGGGGAGGATTGGGAGTTTGGGATTAGCAGATGCAACCTAGCATATATAGAATGGAGAAACATCAAGGTCCTATTGTATGGCATAAGGAACTATATTCAATATCCTGTAATAGGCCATGATGGAAAAGACAAAAAATATAGATTTACAAAATAAAAAAGAAAACAGATAGACTGTCATGGAGTGAGGTAAGTGCCATGGGCTGGGGCGGGGAGGGGACATGGCCAAGGCATCGAGGTGACTCAGAGGTGCTGGTGGCGAGGGCGGGCAAGGATGCCTGCCCAGAGAGGTGACGTGTGAGTTGGAGGTTGAAAGGTCATATGCAGTTCGCGTGGGGGACATGGTAGGCCGTTGAAAGCACAAGCAAGAGCCGCAGAACGGTGGAGAGAAGGGCGTGGCAGAGGCCCAGGCCTGAGTCCACAGGGCTCACGTGAGGGACAACTGTGGGCTCCGTCTGTAAGAGGAAGAACCGTGGCATGGAGGGAAGTGGGGCCGCTGGGCCGAGGTGAGCAATGGGGCTCTCAAGGCCAACAGCACCAGACCATGAAGGCCTGGTGAGCCCCAACCAGACCTTGGACTTCATGCTGTAGGCCCATGACCTCTAGACCCGCTGCCAGACTCCCAGGGCACACAGGGGCCCAGTACGGACCTGGAGGCCAGCAGGGCGCATCTTCTAGCAATGTCTGTATTATTCAGAAATCTGGGAGGGAAACATTTCACCCTAAAATAAACATAATTACTAGAGCACTGAATGTAAAAACTCACATGGATTTTTAAGGTGAAACTGGAGTTTCCAAATCTATACTTTAAAATCAAACAGGAGTTTTCAAGGACATTTCCTACAAGTACCTCTCCCCTCCTTCCCAGGGAGGTCATGTGCTCATTCACACCAGCCCAGAGTATTTGGAGAGGAAGACGTGAGAGGTGCTGCTAGAATAAGGAGGGAGCCACAGCCTGGGGTGGGAAGAGCTGGGCTCTGAAGCCGGGTGGGTCTGGCTTATTTCCTGGCTCTACCTCTTACTCACTGTGTCCCTGACAAGTCATACAGCCTCCCCTAAGCCATCACTTCCTTCCCTTTAAAGTACAAGTGATAGTATCTTCCTCATGGGGTTGTTGCCAGGGCTAAATAAAATAATATGGTAGCACAGAGAAGGCATTAAATAAAAGGTAGCTATTTTTAAATGAAAGCTATGGCTAACGGCTTTCAGCAGGGAAGTTTCATGCTGCAGGGAGGATGGGCTTGATGGGTGATTCAGAAGGTCCAGGCATGAGAGGATGAAGACGGCAAGGAAGGGGTAGATTAAAGAGACTTTGGAGGGAGAACCATCAGGGGTTGATGATGATCAAACGTAGGAGAGAAGGAATCAGGAGCTGTTGAGGTTGATACCGAGGTTTCTAGCTTGGCAAACGGAGGGATGATTGATCAGTGATGCTATAGACCAAGATAGAAAAGAGAGGGGAAAGCAAAAGCGTCACACGAGGAAGAGGCAATGGAGCACATGGCATTTGGGGCTCCTTGAGGTTCCTTGGAATGTCTGAGTTCTGCAGCGAGGTACTCGGTTTACATTTTGAAAGGAGAGAAGGTAGCTAGTTACTTTAGTTTCCCAATCTGGCCACTTTCAAGGATTAGGGTATTTAGTTATTCCAAAATATGACTAAGAATGCCCTCATAACCAAAGAAGGGACACCCACCTGCTTTGGGGGATTTGGGATGAAGGGATTTTGCTCTTACCAAGTTGGCAATACCATCCCTGCTGGGGACCGGCGTGAGCTGCAGCATGGAGGCCCGGTTCCTTTTGGACTTATTAGAGGAAGACAAACTTGCCACATCCGGGAGGCAAGCAGGCTGACAGGCAGGTAAGCTTAGTGAGATTGTAGGACTTTTATGAGGTCCTCAGGATGTAGGATCTAAAGTCAGGGCTATGAGGTGACCAGGCTTGGAGGGACAGACTCCCACAGTCACATCCCCACTGAAATGATGCATTAGGATACTACGGTGTTACTTTACAGTTAGACATGCACATACTTGCTAAGACGACTGGGGTCTGGAGAAAAGAATTACACAGGAAATCGAATTATGGACTCTGCCAGTGACTAGGAAGGTCTGCAGGAAACCTGAGGAGCGAGATGAGGCCATTATGGAGTGAAATGATGTCATAAATGGGAAGCGCTGGGGGCTGACTTGGACCTGGGGAGGATGTGACTATTATTGGGTGAAGAGAGCTGGCATGAAGACCTCAGCCTTCGCCGGTGTAATGAATGAGGGCGTTTCTCACACCTTCAAAGGCAGCATTGTTTGTTCCTCGAATAAAGTGCAAAGCAGCTCAGAAAGCCCTCAGCTTGGACTCTCCCTCCCAAAGGCTGGCATCGAGGACAAGGCACAGGTTCTGTTCATGGTCCCAGCTGGGCCTTCTGTGGACGTGAGGGTGAGGCATACTCAGGGGTGATGAATCAACAGGCCCTGCCGCCTGGGTCCAAAAGACCCAGCTAGGAAAGTTCCTGATCCCAGGCAAGGTCTCTTTGATGTTTATGGTGAGAGGGGGACCAGGAAAGTACAAAAATATGAGAATCTTTTCAAAAGTCTGTCTTTCTGGGAGAAGTGGATCAGTCAGCTTAAAAAGGGACTTAAACAGCAATGCTCTACTCCCCCTCGTCTCTCCCTGTGAGGCTCAGAGTGTCAGGATTTTAACTACAATCAGCTCAGTGAAGTGAGTGGGCCCTGCAGATGGGGCCAGCTGGAGGACTGGATGGTGTCCCGGGCAGTGCAGCCCTGAGCCCGCACGGCAGACCCGGGTAGTGCTGGGGGAAGGAGCCTCAGGCACCTCAGGGGAGGACTCTGCTCTTTCAGGGTGAGGGCCTGTGGTGCGCTGGGCCGGCTCTGCCAGCAGTGGGCTAGGATCCTCCCCAGCGGAGGGGAAGATGGAACTGGAGTGTGGAGACATCCCCAGAGGAACAGGCTTTCATTGGGAGACACTGCCCCCCACTCCCTAACACTAATCTTTCCTAATGAAAAATATATATATATAACAAATAAAATTCTAATAGCTCCAAAGAATTTGCTGAGGGCTACTCAAGGCCCATCATCCCAGCTGACTAATGGTAGCTGGTGCTCTGCTGGCCCGGACACCCTACCAGGGAGCGGGTGAGAAATGGGGGCTCTTCAAGAAGCAAAGGGCTTCCCTGGTGGCGCAGTGGTTGAGAGTCCGCCTGCCGATGCAGGGGACACGGGTTCGTGCCCCGGTCTGGGAAGATCCCACATGCCGCAGAGCGGCTGGGCCCGTGAGCCATGGCCACTGAGCCTGCGCGTCCGGAGCCTGTGCTCCGCAGCGGAAGAGGCCACGATAGTGAGAGGCCCGCGTATCGCAAAAAAAAAGAAAAAGGAAAAGAAAAGAAATAGAGTGCAGGTGGAGCTCTGCCTGCCAGGGTGCAAACGCTGACTCCTCTTTTCCTTCTCCAGTATCGAAGCGTCTTGGAGAATTACCTCACAGACTCCATCAAGCTCTCACCAGAAGGCCAGTCCAAGAGCAGTTGCTGCTGACCTTCCAGACTCCTGCTCTGCACACCCAGGGACAGAGCACATGCTGGGCCTGGTCATCCTGGGCCCCCAGCAGCCCCACTGCCCGCCCAAGCTCAGATGGCAGTCCAGGCTCTGCGGCCAGAGCCCTGAATCCCTCGCATCTGCGCTGGACCCAGAACCAGAGGGCGGCCCTGCCTCACGCTGAGTGTAGAGAGACTGGGGCTGGGCCCTTGAGCCTGGATGAAACTCCGGATGTCACAGCCAAACCCCAGAGGAGTCACGATTCCCTCGCAGACTCCAGCTTTCTTGCCACACGCCCTTCCCAGCCACACCCCTGCTCCAGAACGCACATCTCTGCAGACAGGCCGCTCTCTCTGGAGTCCTGTTATATTCTCCTATGGACTGGCCTTCCTCAGCCCATCCACCACACCCCTCAAGAGCCACAGCACAGCTTTGGACAAAGGTGCAGCTCAGGCTCCCTCGTAACTGGGGCCAGGGAGTGAGGGTCTACCTCAACCTCTGGCAGCAGCTGTTCACGCCTGGGACACCCCCTGTTTGTCCCGTCCAGAATGCAGGACTGAGGGAGCGCAGGAAAAACCCACCGGGCACTGGTGCATTTCTCCCTGCTGGCGCTCAGGCAACTCCCATAACTCTCTTTGAGCTTTAGCTTACTCATCTGTCAAATGGGAGTCACGTGTGCCCTGCCCACATCAGTGTGGTTTTGAAGACCAGAACCTCTGCTGGAATCTCAGTTGCTCTTGTTGAGATACATTTACTATTCTTTCAACAAGTATCTTTGAGTATCTACTATGTACGATGCATTGAGGTCCAGTGACAAATGTAACCCACCTTGCTCTCCTGGATCCGACATTCTGGCGAGGGAGAGAGGCAGTAAACACAGAATTTAAACAGGCATTTTCAAATAGCAGGTAAGTGCTTGAACAAAGTGAAACAAGGTAATGTCATAGAGAGGGACAGGGGGGTGGGGTTGGGTGCTGTTTCAGACAGAGTAGTCCAGGAAAGCTTCCCTGGGGAGGTGACATTGACTCAAAGGCTAGAGAATGAGAAAGGGGCTGCCATCTGAACTCGACAAAGAGCGTTCTGAGGAGAGGTTGCAGCAAGGGCCAAGGCCCCAGGTCGAGGAAAAATTTGTGTTCCAGGAACAGTGAAAAGATTAATTTACCTGAGGACTCAAAGCTGCTGTCCCAGAGAAAAGCAAAGGGGACCCCGCCCCCTGGATGACTCCTTGAGTCTCTGTCAACTGGCCACCAGAGGGCAGCAGTGCTCCTTTCCTTCCAGCAGAGCAGAAAGCGGAAGCTCCACGGGCCCATGAAGAGCTGCAGTTTTCCTGTGCAGATGCTCAAAGCTTGTTCTCGGGCTCTGGGCATTTTCAACCCTTCGAGATTTGTGGGGCAGGAAAATCCCAGTTTCTTAAGCCTACAGAGAGGCTTAAGAGGACCTAGATTAACAAGACTGCTCCGAGCAAAAACTGCAGCATCAGTGATTCAGGCAAGAAATCTGCATCCGTGACAAATACTAGAAGAGGGGCCTGGAAAGCTCATGGAGTCTCTGTCCCTGCAATCGCTACAGCCATAATCTTCTTTTTCTTCTGGCAATAAACAACACAGATAGAGCCCAACCTGAAGGGAATAGGCAAGATGACCCCCCAGGGTGTCCCATGACCACATCCATGCCCACCACAGAAGTCTCCTGTCTACACAGAAGTATTCTTCCCTGAGCTCCCAGCAGAGCTGGAGATGTTAGCCTATGACTTCCAAGTGTCCTCTGACACTGAAGATGTGCCCAGAGGTAGGGGGAAAGGGGAGGTGGGAGTCAGTAAGAGAGTCTGGGGAACCCCTTCTCCCCACCCAGCTGTGAAGTAAGAATTTCTCATCCTGGGCAGCGGCATGGACCTGCCATAGGAGCAGGTGGCCTGGAGCACACCTTTGTCTCTGTGTTCTTCATGGGGGTGGCACCCTGCACGTCACACAGGGTCTCCTGGGAGTCGGTCGGACTGTGGATTGGACGTGTGGTACATGGCTGTGTATGCAGCAGCTCGTGCACTGCAATGGACGTAGGGACCATTCTAAATGTGCACAACAAATAATAAGTGCGTCTTTCTTTGTTTTAATCTTTTGTGGTATTTAGTCTTTAGAGTTTTTTTTTTTTTCCAATATCCCCATAGTTCAAAATTCAAAAGATAATAAAAGGGAACACAGAGACAACAAAAAGTAAAATAGGAGCAGTGATATAATTGGCAGGGCCCAAAATGAAAATGCCCCACCCCTTGTCCAAAAATCATGAAGAGTTCCAAGACGGTGACACTGGATCATTAAACCAAGCGTGGGGTCCTTCTGAGCGCAAGTGGCACACACCCAGGAAACTGCGCCTGAGTAAGCACTATGTTTTCAGTGCCCTCCAGAATGACAGAGCCCTGGCCAGGCCCACCTGGGCCGCTTGGAGATAAAAGGTTCTGTCTTTGCAAAAGCCACATGGAGATTCAACACCAGCCCCAAACCATGCATTTTGAATCTTCCCCAGAGTCAGGAGCCAGGACTGAATGTTCACATGGCAGGTGGAGAGTGGGGACCTAAGGCCCACAGCATCCCTCCTATCAAGACTAGGGGACATGCTAGTGACCAATCTCCAGGGCAAATGGAACTGAGCCAAAACACTGTGGGCCGCTCCACACCCCCTCCCCCACTCCTGAGTCTGAGACCGGCCCTCGGTTCCCAGCCAGTAGGGGCAGGTATTGGCAGAGAGAGGCAGGATGTGGGGCTGCAACTCCAGGGCAAAGGGAGCCCACTAGAGCCTGGCAGGGGGGTGGGGGGCAGCATGTCCCAGCATGTCCCTGTCCTCAGCATCCTTTCAGAGAAGAGGACCTAGATTAACAAGACTGCTCTGACCAGGCCCTCCTCCAAGGGGCAGCTCCAGGCTGCTAGTGAATAATCAAGAGAATCCAGGCCAGGGCTCTGGGCAGCACACGCCCACGGGGCTTGGAGAAAAGCAAACCCAGATCTTCTCACCAAATAAACCTGGCCGGGCCCTACTGGGTGCCCTACCGCCCAAGGGGATTTGGGGAGATGCTGTTTCTGCATTTGCCCTTGCTCAGCAGAGGCTCCCACTGCAGCATCCACAGCCACAGGCAGATGCCGCAGTCAGGCACGTGGCAGGTGCCCACAATGGGGTCTTGTGCCCAGGAGCGCACAGTCCAATGGCAGCCTCAAAGCAGCCACGCTGGCAACAACACCAAAACTAGTTGCCGCGCACAGCAGACACAGCTGCGACAGTGGGCGTGCGTGAGGCCAGGCCTGCTGCATGTGCACCTGGAGGCTCCCTCTGCGGTGTGTGCTGGAGGCGGGGGACAGGCAAGGCAGGAAGTTTAGTTCCAGTAGAGGGCAGCGGCCTGTACCAGGACACTGTGCATGCCTGCTGGGGGCGTGGGGGGAGCAAGGGCTTAGAAGATCAGACAGTAGTTTTCCCTCGCTGAAGTACAGAAAAATTGTAACTAAGCTCATAGGCTTGGAGGGGAGCAAACAAAAACCCAGGTGAAGGGGTGCTGGCAGTGAGGGGACAGAAACACTGCCAAGAGCCCTCCTCATACCAGTGAATCCTCCATAACAGCCCACAGAGGAGGGCATTGACCTCATTTTTCAGACAAGGAGGCTGAGGCTTCCTCTTCCGCCACTCATGTCCTGTCAACACCTCCTCGTCCTTGTCTTGAATTCATTTCCTTCTCCCCTCATCCTCTGCTCCAATGGGTCCAGCCAACCACAAGCCTTGCCTAGACCACTCTTCCCTCCCCTTGAGCCCCCTGCCTGTCCTCTTGTCCCTTTCCTAACCACTCCACATGGCAGCCATCGCAGTGGCCTCCACAGGACAAGTTCTTCTTGTGACCTACAAGGGCCCACCACCGCCAACCACTGCCTGCTTGTCAGGGCTCAGCTCTGGCCACAGTCTCTCTCGATGCTGCAAACGGAGGACTTTCTCTCAGTCCCCAGGGATGCCTCTCACCTCCCCGCCCTGCCTGGCAGGGGACCTCTGTTGGGAACTCTGGCCCCTCTCTGGTCCTTCACCAGGCCAATTCCTCCTTAGCTGTTAGTTACCAGCTAAAGCATCATTTCCTTCAGTAAGGATTCCCTGATACCAAGACCAGGTTAGGGACCCCACCATGTGCCCCCCTGAGCCCCCCTTATCACAGTGCCAGAACAGTAGCTCCACTAGGATGGAAGTGCCACGGGGCAGGGATTTTCATTGGTTTTATTCACCACCGTCTCCCTCATGCCCAGAGCAATGCCTGACAAGGGCTGGGACTGGAGAAATATTTTTGGAAGGAAGAGCTCCTGCAGTATTTTATCATAATTGTTTGTCTGTTTGCCCTTAGACTGTAGTGTCCCTGAGGGCAGGGCTTGTTTTTTTTTTTTAATTAACTTCTATTGAAGTGGGCCTGTTTTGATTAACCATTTTAACCCCAGCACTCAGCATAGAGACTGGTGCATAGTAGATGATAAATAAACACTGTGGAATATAATAGAATACGGCATAGGTATTTTTTAAAATAACAAAATGTTCTATGTAATGACATGGAATAGATAGCTGAGATTCATTGTTATGTGAAAAGGCAATGGCAGAATCATGGGAATAATATGCTATCTCTTCCATAACAGGAGGCTTAAATAAGACTTTATGTTCATCTTTGCTTGTACATAAAGAAAACTCTGGAAGGATGCATGGAAAATGGATAAAAGCAATCACCTTTCAGAGGGGGACTGGGCAAGTGGGAGTCAAGAGTGAGAGCAAGACTCTTCCTTGTATAATTTTATACTTTGAACTTTGAACTCTTTGAATTATTACATAATCAATAATTTAAAAGAAGGAAAATTAATATTGGTGGAAAAAAGTACAAGCAAGGAAAGAAGCAAAACTCCAACCAGGACCTAGCTGCCTCCAGTCAGTCCATCCTATGGTCTTGAATCCAAGGCTGACAAACTTGGATTCTGCCACCAGAGGGTACACGACTA